CGGGGGCTCCCCAGCCTGCTCCCAGGCTCCCTGCACTGGATGCCAGCTCCATGCACCCAGATCCAGCTCCCTGCCAGCCCCTGCAGCTGTAGGGCCTGGCAGGGTCTGGATCTGGGTGTGCAGGGGTAGGGTCTGTGAGGACCTCAGGAGCAGGCAGGCAGGCAGGCAAGCAGGGGCCCGGCACCTCTGCCTCTCTTGGGCTGATCAGGAAGGCATGACAATGATCCAGGGGTGGAGGGGAAAATGGGTGACAGAGGAGGCAACTGGAGTGGCAGGGGAGTGATCTGGGAGTGGTGGGGGCAATTTGGGCGTTGAGGCAATTTGAGGGGGCCAGAGGGGGCAGCAGCCTGGCAGCTCCCCAGCCAGCAGCTCCCCATTGCCCCCTACCTTTCCCTCTTCCCCTCTCCAATCCTGCCCTCCCTCCCCTCGTCATCACGTCCCCTCTCTCCGTGGCTCCCCTACCTTCACCCTTCTTCTCTCTCTCTCCACTCACCTCATCCCCACCCATCTGTTACCTGGCTGTTCCCAGCTGTCAGTCCAGGGCCACAGAGTCCTGAATGATAGCTAGTCCACCTGGAAGCAGTGCCTCCTGGGATACTGGAGTATTGCAGATTGGAGGTTTTATCTCAGGTGGACACCCAGAAGTTAATATAACTCAAGCTCAGCAGCACAGCTGAAAAATAATCCTTGTCCGAAGTGGCTTAACTCTGAAGTTGCAGACAGAAGTGCAACTCCTCGCTGTAACTCAGAAGACTTTGCAGGAAGCACTCCGAGTCACAACGATCCCTTGGGACAAACAGAAGTTTCTGCAGCATGGGGTGGGTAAACTCAACCCCCCCCCACCAGGGGGCTCCAATTCACCCACCCCACCCTCTAGTGGGGCTGAAACACCCCCAGACCAAACTCCCTCCGTTCCCTTTCCCCCTTCCCAGCAGCAGGCTGGCAGGCAGCGCAGAAAGAAGTTACAGAAGATGCTCTGTTTTGAAACATCGTCATCTGATCCCTCATGCAACGAGGGGTCAGATTTTCACCCTATTGGCCATTTTTAAAGCCATCTGCAGCCGTGCTTGTGTTTGGTCACAGCTATAAAACTGCTTTTTGTAGTTAGATCGGGCCAAAATTGTCACTTCTGTCTGCATCCAATGATACCTAAAGGGCACTTATCACAACTTAATGAGCTTTAACGTGTAATCATTCAAGGTTTAAGTGCTCTTAACATGATCTAATTGTAATGTGTAATCTCACCCACAGATTCTTCCATTTTTAGATCAGAAGACCTGGCTTGCTTTCCCCTGTGCATCAACCCTGCTTACCTCAGCAACTCTGATATGTATTTAGTACCTGCAATTTTCTTCCCTTCTAGTCAACAACAGTGGTATCCAAATAGTTTTTGAAAACAAAGTATTAAGGCTTAGGACAAATGCATTTAGAAAACAAAATAAAACAAAACAAAACATGTTTTTAAACTATAATGTTCATGAACATGCCTGCTTCTCCCTAAAGCTTACCATTTCTCAGGAGTCAGAGAGAGCCTAATTTTCAAATAAGCAAGATGTGGGATGTTGTCCATGTTACAGGTTGCAGACAGCTCAGCGAACATCCTCTGGCAGCTGTCATCTCTCCACTGGAGTCGAGTCACTTTTAATTTTTTATCGCCCTTGGATGTGGTAACTCCCAGGTTGGACAAAACAAGGCTTGCAATCTGCTGGCAGCGAGAGGTAAGATTCTCAACATTAATAACTTCACATTCTCTTTCAAGTGTGTGCCTGAACATTTTTATCTGCAACTGTTGTATTCCTTCCAGCACAGTCCCTGCTGATTTCAGCAACTAGGGTTTGGTGTTTTCTGTCTCAAAGGGGCAGTTAAAAATTGAACAATCTAAAATGTGTGGACCCTTTTGAAAACGTGGGTCTTTGTTTTCCCCATCTAAAATGGCAGCAATTTTTTCCATTTTCATTAAGGTTAATACAACTTAGCCAGACATCCTGCAAGCTGATTCAGCTCGTACACCTATTATTCCAGTGATTCAAATGATGTTGCTTCAGTTTTATACCTCATAGTAGATTAAAACCATCTTCTTTTTCTTAAAATTCATCTAGTGCCCAAACCAACCAAACCTAGCCATTTTCCTCACTGCGCTACCTGCAATTCCCAGGCATTTTACCCCTTCTTCAAAATGTTCTCTCTTTTTCTATCCAGGCTTTGTTGAATGGCACAGCTCAAGATTTGTTCTTATGGGAAATATATCTCAACCTAGCAAAGACTCTCTTATATTGGCTAAAAGCAAATGTCTGCAGGTCGACAGAATCGAGAGCTAAACCCAAGAATTAAGTAAAACACACCTGGCAGACTTATACTACTAGGTAGACCAGAATATTATATCACTGAGCTTGGTCCTGGGGCTGGGTTATGAAAGGAACACTACTTTTGTCTTGTCCACAAATTCAAAGATATGCCTCCATTCAAGAAGTCTCAGCCCTACAGAAGTCAATAGCAAACCTTGCATCTTCTTCAGTGGGGCTAGGATTTCACCAGCCAGTAAAGATCTCATGTCCACAGAGGCCAGCACCGTGGAAATCTCTGTCTCCCCGCAGACTCTCTTTATATTTACTTTAAATTCCACTTGGCCAAAAAAATAGGGAGTTGGCATCCATGGCTCTCACCACAGAAGCTAGAGATAATCTTACAGCTACGCTGGATCCAAGCCATTAAGCACCTTGCAAATAACAACTAAGACCATGCACTTGACTCAAACGTCTATCAGAAACCTGCACAGAGACCAGAAGATTATCACACCTGCTATCCAGCCCCTGGTATTTTTTGCATAAAACTTGTTTTAACTGGCTCACCTGTCTTCCAAACTCTTTAGCTGCCATAACCAGTTTGAGATGCCACCTTTACCTCTTTCAGTGAAACTTATATACTGAGATTTCACTCAATGGTTTCCTAATACCAGCTGCTGAGGGGCCTGGCCAGGCTGATGAGCTGTTTGCCCAAGAATATAATTCTGTAAATTCACCATGTCTGTTTCAGCAGAGACCCCATGAAGTCATTTCTCAAATTCATGGTAAAAGCTAAAATTCTGTGCCTTTCGTACCTGCAGAATTCTCTTATTTTCCCGTTAAGAAAAACTTAATAAGCTTTTGATTGCTTATTTTGGGGAATACTAGAAGAGGGCTGTCAGGGCTCAAACCCGAGGAAAATTATGTAATATTTCTTAGGAATGATGAATGAGGTCAGGGATCTGGGTTTTCTGCAGAAAAATGTGGACTTTCTCCATTAGGCTTTCTTTTTGAAAGCTCTCCATGACACGGCAGCCAAGCAGTGGTGGAGAGCAGCTCCTGCAGCTCCCTACAGGAAAGTCTATGGGGCGGGGAGAGGGGGGCACAGGCGACACGCTGGCAGGGCACAAGTGATGCATCATGGGGGGCAGAGGGAGCACAGGCGATGCAGTTGGGGGGGGGCACCAAGGCGATGTGGCAGGGGAGGCACACGCCCCCTGAGATTTCTGCACCCACAGCAGGGTATGGGGCTGCAGCCAGGCCAGATAAGCTCTGGGCAGGGCCTACCTCCACGGACCAACAGGTGGGACCCAGTGCGGGTGGGAGCGCCACGGTGCCATGGCCACCAAGGTGAGGTGCGGCAATGCAGAGTTGTGCCCCCGCTGCTGATGGACAGGCAGGGGGCACCTCACCTTGGCAGCCATGGAGGTATCAGCTCTGCCTCCTGCACCAGGTCCCACCTGCTGGGCTGTGGAGCTGGCTCCTGCCCAGCCCCACTGTGGGTGCAGAAATCTCTGGGAGCATCTCCCCCCCACCCCCACCCCCACTACCCTGCCATGTCACCTATGCTACCTCCTGTCCCCCTGCACGTTGCCTGTGCCCACACACACTCCTTCTCCACAAACACCCCTGTTCCCCACATACTGGGGGGCTGGGTCACATGTCTATCCTCTTAGGCTGCCCCATCCCAGCAAAAATAAAAGTTGGCACCTATGACTGGAATGTTACATAATCTGCAACATACAGTCCTTAAACCATCTGCTCACCCATCTACTTTCAGTAGTCCATCATGTTGTCTATCCTTTTTACAAAAAAAAGAAAATATTGCTGGAAAGATTTTATAAAAAGTACACAAATTCAACTGCTGAATTTGTACTGTGAAACTGGGAATACTAATAAGTGAATCATTGCTGTCACGATACTTTAGCTATGGTGATTTTACATATATTTGCTTATAATGAAACCTACTTGCGCCCTGTACATATTCCATCTATATAAGTTTGTTGTGTACACAGTTAGCTTCTCATTTTAATACTCAGAACCCGATTCAAATCTCATTTGCAACAATGCAATTTAGAAATAACTGCTCCAAGATCAATTGGATTATCCAAATGTATTTTGATGAATCAGAACCAGGCCCTCAATCACAATAATTGCTGACCAAGAGTATTAAATCAAGGTACAGTACTATTCTACAATGAAAGCAGCTAACAAATCAAAATCATGGAATGTGGACCATTGCTTAAAGCAAGGAACTGGAAGCTACTTACTATGTGATGTTATTTAACCAGTTTTTCCTAAAAGAAATGCTCTAGTAGTCTAGTAAAACCAAGAATTTGGGGAAGTTCATGAACTATGTTACACAGAGTGTCAAAATTTATGGTTCCTTCTGGCTGTATGGTACATTAATCTCTCGATAGGCCACCAATTTACTTACTTCTAAAATGAGGATAGCAATTGTTTATCTAACAGAAGGGACATGAGATTTAATTAAGCAAAATGCTTTAAGGTCATCCAATGAAAGAGGCTATTTTGACAGGACAGTGCAGATCTCATTCTGCATCCTACAGGTCATATTACTTGCTGAGCTTATGACACCAGAGACATTGTAAAGTCCAGAAGGCCAATACAGATTGATTTCTCTTTTTTTTCCCCCCAATAAATTAAGATTATAATGCTACAACACAGATTTTTGCATTTTAAACAATTATGGTAGGTAGTATCTTTAGTTGTCTTTTACTTTTGAAGCTGAACATAATTTTTGCAGAATTAGGTTTTTTTTCATGCAAGTAAGTTTATTCTCATCATGAATTGTTCTACAACTATTACATCACTCTTTAAAATGTAATTACATTACATAAACCCTGCAAACTTGCTATATGTAGTTTTAATTTCCTGAATTCACTGTTTAAAATAGTAACCTTAAGTTAATGTAACTAAAATATTGGAAAAGGTTCAGAAAAAGAGTTACAAGAATGATTAGAAGTCTGGAAAATGTGCTTTAAAGCAACAGACTACAGTAACTCCATCTATTTCCTGTATCGAAGAAAAGTCATGATCACTCTTTACAAGCACCTACATGGAAAAGAGACATTTGATTTTACTTAGCTGTTTGTTATAGAAGAAATGTAGACTAAGATCCAATGATAGGACGTTGAAGCCAGACATATTCAAACTACAAATAAGACAAATTTTTAATAGGTAGAAGGCAGGGCAGAGTTGCACCTTAGAGACTAAACTGAATCAGAGATGCATATGTAGGGATCTACCCAACTCAAGGAGGTGGCCAGATGATTTTGCAAGCAGATCATGGGGCCAGCCACTATTTTCACACGCTTATCATGGTGGGGCTCCCCACACCTCTGGTTGGCCAAAGGGCCCTAATGGCCCCACCCCCTAGCACTGATTGGTGGAGAGGGCTGTCCATCATGTGGCCCCACACCTTCACTGCTGATTGGTGGAGGGGCGGGGCCATACAATAGCCAGTCCTCCCAGCCAATCAGCTGCGAGGGGCAGAGGCAGCAGCCATCTTGCCTGTTTGCCTTTGTGCGAGCAGCTTCCTTCATGCAGGACTGTGTGCCGGGGGGGCGGGGGGTTCTGCTGGCTGCCACTAGGGAGTCAGAATTTTATTTTTAGTAAGTTTTTTTGTTTTTCTTGGTTTATTTCCATGGATTTCACAGAGATTGCCCAATTCATGATTTCCATATAATCCATGCAATCGCATCTGAAGTAGGTCCCTATGCATACATTTCCATGCACCACAGCTCACTTCATCGGATTCTAGTGAAGGTAATTGGCTATGAAACAACTTGGTTAGAGCCACAGTGAATTTCTATTGTGCTATCCAAGTTTTAAGATGAAATGGCCATAAAGGTCTTCGTATCTATGGATCTAGTATTTATCTCTGGTCTTCAAATCTGTGCATCTATTATAAAGAAAGATATGTATAAAAATTAGTACCTAAACTTTAATCCTTATTTTTTAAACAAAAGTGTTTAATGTTTGAGTAAATCTTATTTATTTTTCTGGTGTCCAGCTGCAACAATTGCAAGTGCAAAAGTCCAGCTGGAACAATGTGCAAGGCAAAAGTCCTCCAAGAAAGGGTGGTTGGGTGATATTTCCTGCGAGCGCTGAAGGGCAAAATTCCAAAAATCTCATCAGGAAGCCTCTTCTTGTCAGAGTCCCATTCTAATTTTGCAGACCTAAAAGGAATCCACTAGTTTGGATAGTATCCAATGCAAAACCACATTTCTAACATCAAGATTCGTTCTCTATTATGTTTTATAGATATAACATCATGCTTTGTCAGCACTACTATTCACTCTGTCTCCTAACAAATGTACAAAGGATGGAAAAGATCTATTTTAACATTGATAAGAAAAAAATATACCCTATAAAATGAATAATTTACCTTTGTAAC